TTTATTTTGAAATGACAATCAGAGTTGCTGGAATGTGTTTGTGTTCAATGTCACCTGAGAGGGAACTACATGAGTAATGACCTCAGCAGTGTTATGCAAACAAAATAAACACATGCAGACTATATGTTCTGACAGCAAGTTTAACAGTGGTTATATATGCAGTTGGATCTTAACACAGTACAAAAATTAAATCAAGGTTCATATCCTGAAGGAAAGGAAGCTCTGGTGTCCTCGTTGGTAGGAAGCTGTGCTGCCAGCCCGCAGGCAGGTTGAAACCCACCAGCTGCTCCTTGGGAGAAAGATGGCCTGCTGTGGGATTTCCAGACTTGGAAAACCACCTAGAGAGTTGCTGTATGATCCTACCACACAGCATTGAGGTTTGGGTATGGTGGGTGGTGGGTTTTTTCTCTTTCCTTTTTTTTTAATTAATTTTAATGAAAATGTACAGAGACTTTGGATTTCCATTCATTCTTTGTTGCACTTTTCTCACTGCCCCCTCCCCAGTACACTCTTCTCCTTGAAAAGTAAAAGTTCCCCCATTGTTTTACAATCCCTTCCCCCCAGGTCCACACCACTATGCAGCTTTCGTTCTGAACTCCTGTCATGACAATAATACCTAATCACATATCCCTTTTAAACCGTTTTCTCCCTCATCTATTTCAATACAGTATACATTATTTATCCCATCTTTCTCAGTTTTCCCCCAGGGTATGGTTTTTTTAAAAGTCATCCCGAGTGGTTCAAATCCCCACCAGATGCTTTGCCGAAGAAGGAGGAACAATCGCCTCCTGTACCAGTCAGATCCAATTTGACGGTACACACATTAAATGAATGAATGAATGAATGTCATCCCAAAAAGATGTATGTAATGTTAACATCATATCCCAACATTTCCATCAAATATTATTTTTAAAATCCATGTAAAACCTTTGCATCCATACAAGAATAATTAAGTTAATTGAAGAAGAGAAAATGTTTCACTTTGTCCACTGAGATTGTTTTAGTCCTGCAAAGACTAAGCCCCCAGAGGGCTCTCAGAAAAATGGCAGATACACACCTTCAAAACATCTGAAATGGGTTCTTTTTAAGATTGAGGATTTTGTATTCACAAAATGTCCTGGAGAACAGGGGTTTCTTTCCTTTGGGCATGGACTGAAAGGAAGAATGCGATCTAATGCACATAGATAGGTTCTCAGAAGCATCAGGTCCCTCACACCAGGACAGACATGTTGTTTGTCCAACTTAGAATACTGTGTTTGCTAGGCAACTAGAAAATCTGGTCCTTCTTGCTATTCACCATGAAAACAATGCAAATAAAAGCAAAAAGAACTCCTCAAGCACAGTGTTTAATTCCGTTTCTTATCTAGGGTTCATCAGGTGTTTGCTAAAAGCAAATATTTTATTGTCTCCACTAACACACTTGGCACCAACAGTCAGGAAATCAAAAGACAAGTTGCACTGAGAAAATCTGCTATCAGGGCCCTCTCCAGAGAACTGAGAAGCAACGAAGTCAGTCTAAAGACTAAGATGCACCTGATCCAGCCCATGGTATTTGCAATTACTTGCTATGCATCAGAGAGCTGGACAATGACTAAGGATGACAGAAGAAGAACTGATGCCTTTGAGTTGTGGTGCTGGATAAGAGTCTTAAACATACCATGGACCTCCAGGAAAACAGATAGGTCTGTCTTGGAGAGGGTGAAACAAAGTTTCTCCTTAGTGGCTAGGATTTTGAAGCTCCATCTCACATACTTTAGGCACATGGCCAGGAGGGCTAGGTCCTTGGAACAACATGCTTGGAAGGGTGGAGGGACAGCACAAGAGAGGATGACCTCAGATGAGATAGATTGATACAATAACTAGGGTGATGGGGGTAGGTGTGTTGGGGTCAGTGAGATTGGCTCAGGACAGGGTCGTTTCAGAGCTGCTGTACACAGGGTTGCTATGGGCCACAGGCAACTCGATGGCACATAACAACAATAACCATTCTGTTGGGTTCAACATTCCTTCTTCTAAGTTTTATTCATATCTCTACCAGAGTTCTTTAGAAATTCTTTTAATTAAGAAACCTATGCCTTCCACTAGATGGTGAGACAAACTTTAGTCTCACCCTCCAAACCACCAGGTTGCATTCTATCTTGGCCTCACCTCACAACTGTCTGAATCGTGATGATTTTTTATCTTGATCATTTATTTCTCCAGGCCCAGAACAATGTGAAAATGTGGTTACAGCTTTCAAACAGGTAGTTGCTTTGCTTAGGTGCCATTGAATCAAGTACTAATCATTGTGACCCTAAGAACAACTGACTTGAACCCTGTCCTGTCCTGTGCCATCCTCACAATCTCTGACACACTAGAGCCCATTCCTGCAGTCACTGTGTCAATGCACCTGGTTGAGGGTCTTCCTCTCTTTCACCATTCCTTCACTTCCCAAGCATGATGTCCCTCTCTAAGGAATAGCCTCTCCTAAGAAACATGCCCAAAGTATGTGAGATGAATCTTTATCATCATTTGTGCCTTCAATATCTAATATGGCCTTAAGTAAATATGTTATTAGTGAAAACAGACCACCAAACTGACATCCCAGTAAATCATGAAAGTACCTAGCCACTAGAGTGGTTCTCATATTGTTGTTGTTGTTGTTAAGTGCCGTAGAGGACCAGGCAACTCCTAGCGACCCTATGAACGAAAGTCCTCAACACTTGCATGCGTGACTTTCATCCTTTCTCCAGGTTCATAGAGTTTCTGCAGGCAAGCTATTTATGGAAGTGGATGCCACTCCTGCTTCCAAGCTTGTTTTAACTGAGGAGCGCCACCAAACGCTGTCCGCCATGGGTAACCATTATTGCATTTGACTCATCAGTGTCACAGTGTTCAGCTTCACAGCGACCACAAGTTACCTCTGTCCAGCAAGTGGATATGCTAGGGATATACGACCTAGAAGACTATTTGAACAAAAGCAATGAAAAACAAGCCGTAGGGCCGCGGATTAGAGTCACCCACCTTTGGCTTGGTAGCATCGCTTTCGGTCCACTAGGCCAACTGGTCTCTGTGTTGTTAAGTGCCGTCGAGTCGTAGACGACTCATATTACTCTCATTATATACCCAGAATAGTCACCACATCCTTTCCCTGCAAACTATTGCTTTCAAAGCAATTTTGGAGGGGCTCAGAGAAAAAGTATGCAAAAGTAATTTTTTAATCAGATCATATTTTTATTTATTTTCCCTCACTACAATTGTTCATATATCTAGGAAAGCACCAGAGAGCACCAAAATTGTCTTCAAGAATCCTGGAGATTTTTTTTCTTTTTGGCAACTATTAATAATTATTTTTTTAAAGTTACACAGAAGGTGGAGTCCAGTACCACCTATTAGCGGTGGCACAAGGATCATGGCTGATTCCTCTAGTTTGATTCACAGCAGTTCTTTCAGCAGCTTATTCCAAAAGAATGAACAAGCAATGAGCACCTGTCATATTACAGCCCTCGAGGAGAAAGGAAGACATCAGCCTTGTAGCACGTGAAAACCATGTTTATGGTCAAGCTCTAGAAAGATCTAAATGTATGAGGTTTTGAGTAAGGTTGCACCATAAAAAAAGAAGACTGAATCAGACTTCTTTGTGTTTAAATCCTCTGGGTAGGAGGTTAAGGGGTGGTATTAGACGAAAGCATTCCTGCCCTCCTTGCCATTGTTTAATCTGTAACTTAAATATACCATCTCTACTATCAGGGGAAAAGTTAGGCTATAATCACATACTACTATAGAGTTTCTTCTTGTCCATTATTCCTTTCAAAAACACAACAAACTAAAATCCTGAAAATCACATACCCTACTGTAAAGTACACCAGTTTCTTCTTAGCTAATATCTATAGATAAGATCTCTGTGTAAGATTCTAGCTAGAATAAATAAACAAAATTATACTAACTGTTTGGAATTCTAAATGTATTTAAATAATCATAGTGAAGGAGAGATACTCGTCTACAAAAATAACCATTCTTCCTTTTTTTCTCAAATTAGTCCCCAAGAATTTAGCTAGAATCTAACTGCTCAGCCAAAGGGTTGCATGTTTCAAGCCTCTTTTTTCATGTCAAACCATGTGACAAAGGTCTGGCCAATGAAATATAAGAAGCAATGCTGAGTGGGACTTCTGGAAGGTCTCCTTAAAAGAGAAGGGTGGGTTCTTCATTCCCCTTCCTCTATTACAAAGCATAAATGTGATGGGCAAAGTTGCTGTCAACATCTACACCATTAAGGAAAAGCACAATGAGGGTCATATTCTAACAGGGGTAGAAAGGATCCTGGGCCTCTTGACTTTCTTCACAGGGTCCTGGATGAGCTGTCTCTAGACTTCTTCTGTGTGAGAGGAATAAGTTTATACTTTGTATAAACAAGATCCCAAGGTCTTAATAATAGGACCCTAATAAACTCCAACGTTCAGGCTTCACATTCTGCTTCACTGTGGCTGCCTTGCTTCTTAAAGGTTTCATTTGATCTCTGGTGATTATCTTATCAGTGGCCTTGGTCTTCCTAGGCATCCTTCTTCTCACTGTTACACCGGCCATATCTTCTTCTGGGTTCCAGAAACGGCTCCAACCTCTTGAACTGGCCCTGCTGAGCTCTGTGGCTCAGATAATAGTCACTTTAGGGCAGGGGAGAAGGAAAGCATTTGTCCACTGTTGTGATGTGCCAGCGAGCCAGAACTGACCCTCCAGTGGGCTTTCAGAGGTTTAAATCACACAAGAGAGATTGTTTGGCTTTCTCCCTCTGAGCAGCTGATGGATTTGAACTGTGTACTTTTTGGTTTGGCACATGTTACTTTTATATTCTCTGCCTTCCTGGAATTATCAAGATGGTAGGACAAACCAATGTTCTGTATGACTTTCCAGAAGAGCTGTGGGGCGAGAGGGGAAGGGTGGGGAAATGCATGAAAGAAATCTATGGAGTTGAAAGAGAATATATAGACAACAAGGGCCAGAGAAGGAAGTAAATTGTTGGAAGTTTAAACAGTGGAGGTTTCTACCTCCTGTGTAGGGTCCTTGTTGGAGAGATTGCCAGAAATGTTGTCAGATTCCAGCAGTTCCACAATGCTGTATGGAGAGCAATCCTCCAGGCCCAGCTTGCTGCAGAGCCAACCACAGAAGCCTTTTTCCATGTCCCGAGCAGCTTGCCACCAGGCTCCCCAGGACCAGGAGAGCTGCACCACAGCAGCATAGAGGCCCAGGGACGAGGCCATGGCCATGATGAGCACAGGGTAGAAGAGAACAAGGCAGGGGCAATACGAAATCTTGTGCCAGAAGGTCCTCTCCTCATTGTACACAAGGAAGATGTTATACCAGGTGATGGTGCCATAGTAGAAAGAAACAACGAAAGACAGGATAAAAACCACAGGGAGGCAGACCAGCGTCCAGAGGACCACATGGGGCCCACGATCTGCTCCCAACTGGCACACTTTTCTTCCTTCAGATGTTGTCTCCCTTGACAATTCTTGTGGCTTGGTCAACTCCTGAAGCTCCTTCTCTGTCAACGTGACATGGATGTCCACCATCTGACCCTTTTTCTTACCTCGGGTGATGGTCCCAGTTAATGTGACATAGCGGCTGTCCAAAGGCATGTTCCACATACCTACAGGCAGAAAAGAAGTGGAAGTCCAGATCAGAAAAGAGAACATTTCAAATGTGTTTCCCCCTGAGTGTGGGGCTGAATATGAGAATGTCCATTTTCACTACATCTGGCCCACTGCTAAACAGAAGTCAGTGATGAAATGATTGACTGAATGGCCTCCTTTGGGAAGGAGATATAAGACTACTGGTATTATATCTCCCACACTAAATTCTCACCCTACATACTTAGCTTCTCAAAAATTGTGAAACAAGTTAAATTTGTTTTTCAAATCGTCTCTCAATGAGGCTATAAACCTTTAGAAGGAGACAACCCACCTTTCTCCCACCAACTTTCAGTTTGCAGCCAAACATGTTACATACTATGTTGCCAGGATTCTTTCATTTTACTATGGTTAGGACTTTATGTTGATCTGATGTTCTGGTTTATAAGCACAGTGAAAATATTGTTCATGAATACCATCTATTATATGTGAAGATGTTAATGTATGAGTATTGTACCCTACATACACTACATGAATATACACATTTCTATATAATCATGTACATGTGCACATATATGTACATGCATACACAACATGCACACACACACCATGACACGAGGGAAAGAGTTTAACTGGGAGCCCCCGATGGGCAGTCTAGCCCTCATTTCTTCTCATGTCTACCTCTATGGTCCCCTGAGAAGAGACCCCCTCCACAAACCTGTGGACATTATAGCTGATATAACCAAACATGCAGCCTTTTGCCACGCTGGAAGTGATGCTAGAGATTGAGGGAGGAATTTCTGTGATATCTCTAGTGCTGTCTATTCTAAATCCAGCTTGAACTTTCAGAAGTTCCCTGGTGTTGTCTATTCTAAATAAGTTTGAACCTACAGAAGTTTGAACTTACAGAAGTTCTCTGTCAATATACTATTCTAGCCACATTTTATAATCTTCACCAATATTTTTCTTGCATGTGATAGTAATGATTTTGTTAGGCAATTTCCACATTCTCTTGGATCACCTTTCTTGGGAATGGGAAGAAATATTGATCTCTTCTAGTCAGTTGGCCAAGCAGCTGTCCTCCAAATTTCCTGGCATAGACTGGTGAGCACATCTAAGGCCGCATCTATTATGTGAAATACGTCAACTGGTATCCCATTATATCTGAGGGTCTTCTTTTTCGCCTGTGTCTTCAGTACAGCTTGAATGTTTTCTGTCATTACCACTGGCTTTTTTCATATGGTATGTCATGATATTTTTCAGTGTCAGTCAATTCTTCGTGAGAGTGATTCCATGTAGGAAAAGATCCATATTTAGTCCCACTACCAAAAAAGTGATCCAACAGAATGTGGACATTACATAACAAAATCACATACAAGCAAAACCTTGCTGAAGATTATAAAAAAATGATGAGAACAGTATATTAACAGAGAACTGTAAAAAATAAAAGCTTTATTCACAGTAAATACCTTTTAATTTTAAAAAGCCCAAAGCATAAAAGGCATCTTTATACATGGACCTCACCTGATAGACTGTACAGGAATCAGATTGATTAGATCTGTGGAAAAAATTGTTGGAAAAGCTCAATATCAGCAGACAAAACCAGGCCAGGTACTTATTGTAGAATAATGTATAAGTTCAAACTGAAGCGGAATTAAAATAAATTCACAAGAACCCAAATACAATGTTGAATCCATTCTACCTGAATTTGAAATTCATCTCCAGAATAGGTTTAAAGCATTGAACACTATAATGTTCATAGACCAGATAAGTTATGGGATGAAATAAAAGATATCATCTGTGAAGAGAGCAAAGGTCATTACAAAAGCAGAAGAAGAAAAGTAGACCAAAACTATTGTCAGAAGAGACTGAAAATTTCACTAGAGTATCAAAAGTCAAAACAAAGGGAGGAGATGCTGAAAGAAATGAACAGAAGATGTCAAAAGGCAGCTCGAGAAGACTAAACAAATTATTATAATGGAGTGTGCAAAAACCCGGAACTGGAGAATAAAAAGGGAAAAACTCACTCAGCATTTCTAAAGTTGGAGGAACTTAAAAATAAATTCAAGCCTCGAGTTGTAATACTGAGAGATGCTATGGGCAAAATCTTGAATGATCCAGGAAGCATCAAGAGAAGATGGAGGGAATACACAGAACCTTGGAATATTATTAGTCTTTGGTTTTCTTCACTCCTTTTTGCTCTGGAAGTGAAAAGACAAATAATTGGACCTAAGGTGGCCTCTCATAAGCCTTTATGGCCCCAGTCATCACTCACCAAAGTAGGAAGCACAGCATTGTCTTTTTGTGCAATATATGACATTTCCTGTGCTGTAATCTTTTGGGGAGCTGATTGCCAGGTCTTTTCTTCCTTGCAGCAGTTGGTGGTTCAAAAGACTGACCTTTCAGTTAGCTACCTACACAGAAACAGACCTATACAGAAATAATTCTGTTTCATAAGCAGGTCAATCTTATCCTCACCCCAAGGTCTTCAACTTTGCTGTTTCCTCTTCGGGGAACTTCTGCTGGCATCTCTTTATGGATAGTTCTCTCATTACTTCAGATCAGCTCAAATATCACTGCCTCATTAGAGGTCCTTCTGTGACCACCCAATCGCTCGCTCCTCTACCTCCCTCCATAATCACCATGGTTTTCTTTATAACATTCACCGCTATTTCAAATTATACTTTTTTGGTGACTTGTTGACTGTCCATTTACCCCTGACTTGAAAGTAAGCTGCATGGAACCAGGGATGCTGCTTCTTCTCTTCTTCATGGCGAGAGACCCACTTGTCTACACAAACAGACCTATCTCGCTTGTCTATTGCTGCACAGTCACCCCAAAGTACATCCCACTCATGCTTCACTGCTGTTAGTCACTGTCAACTTGATTATGACTCACAGTGACCCTAATAACAACACCTCTGAACTGTGTCCTATCCGATGCCATCCTCACATTCCCTGTCACACTTCAGTCCACCGTTGTAGTTACTGTGTCATCTCTCCCTCTCTTTCAATGCCCATCTACGTTCCGATATGCTCTTCCTCACACACATGGGCATTGACTTTGTGGAGTAGAAACTGAGAATTAAAATTTCTGAATTTTAACAAAAATTGGTAAATTTCTCTATCAAGTAGTTGAGATGCCTTCTTCTTCCACTTAAAGAGCATGAAAGCATATTTATTTCCTCACAATGATGTCATCATATTTAACTACAATGAAAATCTTAATGTCTTCTTGATACATTTGCATTCTCCTGATCACTACTGAAGCAGTAGTTATTGATTTTGTTTGTTTTTTCCTTATCTTTCATGTATTAAATAATTATAATAGTTTGCTTACATTACTTCTTTGTGTACTAATAATCCTCTTTTCTTATCTGAGGAGTTCCAACAGGGTAGAAATCTTTTCCAAATCACCTACCATAGAGCAGAATAGGTGTCTAGTAAGTGCTGCCAAACTGTTGAGTGAGGCCAATGCAATGCTGTCAGACTAAGTGTTTCCAAAGACGGAACAGATTGCTCACTTTCTCTTTTTCCACCAGTATCTTGTGTATAACCAGGTCATCTCACAAGACTTTCTGGATTAAGAGTTTCTTGGTCAAGAAACAAAAGCAGAGTCATCAAATTCCCTAATGGATTAGGGTGAAAACTGATAAAAGACATTGTGTACAACTCCAAGAGAAGACATTGGAGAAGCACCAGGCTGGGTCTAGAAGAAAGCACGGATAGTCTAAGTGACAGCACACATCTTTATGCTCTGTCAGATTCCCTCGCATTTCACCAAGCTAAGTTGAAAATGTCTCCACAATCTCAGCAACTGGACATACATGGAGAAATGTGGGTTTCTTCCTTTGTTTTTATGTTTCTACATTGATAAGCTGGTTCTGTAACACTTATGGGAGATCATTTATGGGAAAGAAAGATCTTTTATGGCTTGACTGTCTTCAGGGAAACTCTCATTCTCGTTCCTACCCATAAGTAGGAAGCTCTGGTACCTTAGTGGTAAGACATTGTGCTACCAACCCAGAGGCATGTGGTACAAACCTACCCGTCATTTTCACAGGAGAAAGATGAGCAATCCCCTCCCACGCGACTGATTTATTGACTCTGAAAACCCACTGGAGGGTCAGTTATGAGTCGGTTCTGACTCAACGGTATACAATAACAGCTATGACTATAAACCTGTAGCCACAGAGAGACTCACCATCATCCGCAGGGCAGTCTAGGAAATCGTCTCCCTCCTCTTCCTTAGGCCTCTCTCCGCCTTCTGATTCTTCTGGTTCCTCATCTGTTTTCTCATTGTCTGACCGGTAGATGATGATAGATTCTGGACGAGAGTCTTTCTTCTTCTTTTTCCGGCGACTTATTGTGGATTCCCCATCGAGAGCCAAGGCCACAGCCACGGCCTTCCTCAGAGAACCATAGTGGGGGGTAGGGGGCTGGCTCTCCCCTTCCACTGGTGCTGCCTCCTCCATCCCTGAGTTCAACCTGCTTAAGACAAATTTACAATCCACACATCACAGAGCTTCTTTGTAGACGAGGTTATTCCAAGAGGTCTCAAGGCTGAGCTCCACCTGAAAGAAGGGAAATCAAAGCCAGAAACAGGGAGAAAGCCAGTGAGACAGGAGACAGATTCAGTTTGGCAAGTACCTTCTCCACCCTTCACAACAATTTACTTGGAGAGTACGTTAGAAATCCTTTCACAAGAAGCACTTCATATTGTGAAAAGTAAAGAGAGAAGGCTTCTGGGTTCATGGAATTGAGATGGCCTCCCTAGGCATGCTGTTGATGTTAAGTGTTACTGAGTTGACTACAACTCACAGTGACCCTATGAACAAACAGATCTGAACTTTGCCCTACCCTGTGCCATCCTCACTGATACTTTCCAGCCCATTGTTACAGTCACGCTCAATCCAGCTCTGGTGGCCTAGTGGTAAAAATCTGTGCTGCAATCATGAAAGCATGTGGTTTGAATCCACCAGCAGCTCAGCTGAAGGAGGGTGGGCAGTCTCCTCCCATGCAATTAACTGCCTCTGAAAACCAGCCAGAGGGTCAGCTATGGGTTGGTTCCGACTCAATGGTACTCAACAACAACATCAAGCCATCTCACTGACGGTCTTCCTCTCTTTCTCTGACCCTCTCTTTTCCATTATGATATCTTTTCCCAAGGACCTAGATCATGGACCCTTACTAAGGCACTTTCTTTGAACCTTGAAAGAACTAAGTTTACTAGAGTCAATTTAAACAGCCTCGTAAATCAACTTGGCGGAAACCACTTGGCTTTAGGTATTGAGGGTTTGGTTTTGGGTTTTTGGGTTGTTTTTTTTTAAGAATTCCCTCTACCTCTACTGGCGCTGGCTGAAAATCGCCTGTGACTTCATCCATAGCCACTGGTGAGAGTCAGCGCCCAGAGCCATCAGGGGCTTTAAGCTCGTTGCCCACTGCTGTGGTGTGGACAGCTGAAACCCAGGCCCCGACAGGCACTTTGGGGGGGGGGGGAACCCAGACTCTACTTCATGCTCTGCTGGAGAAGGAGGGGCCTGTACCTGTCAGATCCAATTTGATGGCACACACACACACACACACACACACTTTTTCTTCTTTTTTAAAAAAAGACTACTTCAGCCGTCGCAGCCCTCTGCCCAGGACGAGCTGTTGCAGCCCTCTGCTCGGGGCGGGCTGCCCTCGGCCCCATGCCCGGGGTGAGCCGTCGCGGCCCCCTGCCCGGGGCGAGCCGTCGCGGCCCTCTGCCCGGGACAGGCTGCCCTAGGCCCCCGGCTCGGGGCGAGCCATCGTGGCCCTCTGCCCGGGGCGGGCTGCCCTCGGCCCCATGCCTGGGGCGAGCCGTCGTGGCCTTCTGCCCAGGGCGGGCTGCGCTTGGCCCCCAGCTCGGGGCGAACTGTCGCAGCCCTCAGGAGCAAGAAGGCAAGCAGCTGTAACCCAAGACCACCAGTAAGGTGATAAAGCGTCCTCCCTTCCCCCCTTTATATCTATGCCCCTGTTCAGCATGAAGAAGCCAGAGAGTCAGCATCCAATTCCCAAATCAAGAAGACAGTTGGTTTAATTACTATTGGAAAATGCTTGTCATTCCTCTGTAGCATCTGGTCCCCACTGGACCCTCATCATTTCCTTCACCTGCTCCCCCCACCGACCAAACTGTGCAGCTCTGCAACTGCATCCTGGCCCATCCTCACCCTTCTTCCCCCAACCCTCACCTCCTTGTACCCCCAATATGTTTTTCCCAATTAAAAAAATTAATAAAAAAAGGAAAAAGAATTCCCTCTAAAAGGACAAATACTGCATAATACAACTGTTATAAAACAGGACTGATATGGAAGTTGGGAGGAAACTAAGAAGAGAGAAATAATAAATATTACACTTAAACATAGGAAGGAAAGACTGTTTAAAAGGAATAGATGGATTAGGCACTATACCTAAGACCACACCCAGAATAAGCGGTATATTGCAAAGAGGCCTGGGGTGGGGAGGGTGCAGAGGGAGGTAATTGTGCAACAATGAATGATTATTTTTTTAAAAAAAAGTCAACTAAGGGAGAGGGAAGAGAGGGCAAGTGGGAAAGTGTGCAACAATTAATAAATGAAAATCTAACTTTTCTAAATTTTTGTTAAAATCAATTAAAATAAAAATTTATTTATTTTGTAAAAAGGGTCTCTGTACAAGTAGCTTCATGATGCAGCAACTCCAGAGTCTGATGACAGACTGTTTTGGAATGTATGGCATGTCTTTGGTGATTCTGATTCAGCCATAGGTGAACCCAGAAACTCCGTCCTGTGGTCCAATAAATTAACAATAAATTAGTAACTATGATAAACCGTTTCCATTGTCTTCGCTTTTTTAGAGCTTTTCTAAATGCTTTATGTGTTGATGCCTCTTCTTTCAAATCTTATCTTTAAAAGAACAAAACCAAACCCACGGCAGCTGAGTCTCAATTCCATCTCACAGAAACTCTGTGGCAGAGAAGAACTGCCCCATAGAATTTCCAAGGCTGTCATCTTTACGAAGAATCGATGCTCCTGAGTTGTGGTGCTGGAGAAGAGCAGTGAACATACCGTGGGCTGCCAAGAGAACAAGCAGGTCCATCCTGGAGAGGGTGAAACCAAGCCTCTAACTTGGTCTATCATCCATTGTTAACATTTTATTTTACCATTGTACATTTATCATGGTAGTTTTGTTGTTAATTGCCAACAAGCTGATTCTGACTTATGGAAACACTAAATAGACATTGAAGAATTACTCTGGAGGATTTTCAAGCCGTGACTTTTTGAAAGCAGGTCTGTCTTCGGAGGCATCTTTGGTTTGGTTTAAACTGTCAACACTGTCATGGTACTGACTGCGTAACTGTTTGCACTGCCCAATGACTCCATCGTGGTAATACATGGGTGCTTTACAATTAACTACAGGCTTTAAGAAGAATTGATACCTTTGAGTTGGTAAGGATAATGAATATACCAGGGACTGCCACAAGAACAAACAAATCTATCTTGGAAGAAGTGCACCCAACATATTCTTTAAAATCATAAATGGCAAGACTGTCTTGTATTAGTTTTTTTTTTTTTTGTCTCACATTATTTTGAGCCCATTATCAGGGGATGTTAATCCCTGGAAAAGAACATCATGCTTGGTAAAGTACGGGGTCTGACAAAGGAGCTGCAACAGTGGGCCCAGGGACATCAGACACTGTAAGTCTGGCACAAGATCTGTTAGTATTTTATTCTCTTGTCCATATGATCAGTACGAGTCAGAGCTTATTGCACCAGACCAAAAACAACCACTCCAACAACCTTTTGATACTTAATAGTTCAGTTTCTCATAAAAATTTGTAAATAGGAACTTAAAAAGTGAAAACTGTCTTCATGTGTCCCCAGTTCTTCGGTGGCTCCTGGTGCAAAACTGATCTAATCCTATACTGATACAGGTCTTGTTGATGGAGGAACCAGGAAGCTTTGAAGCATTTCCCTTACTTCCACTGCAGAGAACTAAGTACCGTAAGTAGATGAAGAAAGGCTGGAATAAACCCATGGATGGCAATGCCTTCAAGCCTTAGCATCTGCACACATAAGGAGTGCTTAGGGCTATGATAAAGAAATCAGATCGTCTTTGAAACAAGTAGTCACTTTTCTCAGCTCCTTTATCCACCCAGCCAATCGCTTCCAGAGAGAACTGCAGGTCCATGTGTATATATTGTCTGAAATGTCATGTAAAAATTTCAGATTTTTAATTGTTGCAATCAGGCCAAATTTAAATTAATTACCATATGGACAATAGAACACAGCAATCACCAATGATTGATATTATCTCCCTTTTGTCTTACAAAGCTTCCAGATCAGAGCTCTCACTCTAACATGTTAGGGACAACAAGGAATTTGGCTTTTTATACTTCTACCCCTGTTAACACATCTTCTTCCTCCAAAGAAGCTGATCTTGGAGAGTGAAATGCCATCTTTTCCAAGTTAATGAATTGCTATCAAGTTAATGTCAAAGTCACTACAAGTCCTTCGTCCTACTGTTCCCTCTACTCTTCTCTGTTTCATGTACTGGTCTCATCAAGGGCTTGGACTGTTTAGAATGACTGGTCTCTCATTATTGTAACACCATCATTAAACACATGAAGCCAAGCAGAAAATAAGACCTGACTCCATCTCACATACTTTTGGCATGTTGCCAGTAGGGGCCAGACCTTGGAGAAGGATATAATGTTTGGAAGGTGGAGGGACAATGCAGGAGAGAAAGACCCCAGATGAGATGGATTGACACAGAGATTGGGATAAAGGGGGCAGGTTTGTCAGAGACAATGAGATTGTCTCAGGACAGGGCAGGGTTCAGCGCTATTGTGCAGGTGACTCGACAGAACATAACAACAAAAACAACAACACACCTGAGAGTTACCCTTAGCCCTTTCAGTGAGACAGCTGCACTGCTGGGAAGATCTGAAAAGGAATCTGGTTGGATAGGTGTCAAGTGATCAGAACCATAGTGGAACATCTCAAAAGCGTCCAGCCCTCAGTCAGATGCTATCAAGTGACTTTGGAAAAACTGGGCTACAGGCTCTTCCTTCTTGGTCTTACAAGCATGAACAGCCCAGCTCTCATCTTGCATGACCTATTTGACTCTCAAAGGTTCTTACGCGGAGGCAGGGAAGCTTCTGTTCATCACTTCTGTGAGCAAATGGAAATCTGCAGGCACGACTACCTGGAAATAAAGTGCCTTCAACGAGCAGTGGTTCCCAGCCTTTTAGGATCAACCGCCTTCCCAACTGTGATGCTGTTGTCATTGTTATTGTTGTTAGATGCACTGAGTTGAGCATGACTCATGGAGACCCTATAACAGCTCATCTCCAAGACTATCAATCAAAGGGGAGGAAATTGCCCATCTTTCTCCCACAGAGCTACCAGTGGATTTGAACTGCCATTGAGACCTGGCCTTTGGGTTACAAGTACAACTCTTTAAGGACTAGGCC